TTTCTGCCTGTTAAAAGGCAGTTTTTCCTTGCCCCCGTCGCCAAGTTCTTGCTCATGGTGGTACTGTTGGGTCTCTGTAAATGTTAAAAGGAGTTCGGTCTAGACCTGCTCTATTTGAAAAGTAAAAGAAAAAGACATATGAGTTAGGTCTTGGCACTTGTTTTGACAGAGTTATATTAAGTTTTAAAAATCGACCTTGTAGGAGCTTGCAAGAGACGCTTCTACATTCTAGCTTGCCCAACAGCGCCCCCCTACTCAATGTATTCCTTAACAGTTTACTTTAGTTCACCACTCTGAGGTTTTTCACCAATCAATATCAGCCTACATGAGTCTCATTTTATCTGTAATGTGAATGGACTCACAGATTTTGTGATTTCCAAACAGTCTGTGCATCTTGCTCATAGTTCAGTTTAAAAAAGCGCACCATAAAGCATCTCTTCAACCTCTGTTTCTATCATAGTTATAGTTTTGTGGATAATTTTAATGCTCAGTTTGTATTTATATCATCGTAATCATCATTACAGATTAGTCCTCCTCTTCCTGCCCCCTCTGGAAGTGCAACCCCTTGCCTTAACCAACAGTGTATTTCCAATATGTGATCACAGTGAAGTTTCACAACAGTTTCAGCGTTTCTCTTTTTGACGACTCGAGGCGGAGCTTTCGCTGCAGCTGCACCTGTTGCCATCTTCAGCGTGTTACAGGTGGGTCACACTACTGTGTCTGCATCACATGTGCGTGAAGGAATGTGTTGCTTTTTATTTTGCCACCCAAAGTTTCCATTGCGAGCGCTCTTGCTATCTCTTTCTCTCTCAGGTAAACAAACCACACGTCTGCTTTCTGGTTACCACTGTTCACATTTACGTACATATATGGTATTCGATTTTTCATTATTATATTACATTATACAAGGAAAAGTGTATGTGGTAAGGTGGCAGCTTCGCAGCAGCTACACAGCTGACACACTCGGTCAGCGGCGTAGATGCCACACGCTGCTCAGGTGGCGAATGTGAAAGAGCCATTATAGGTACTGAGAAAACAAATATTGTCACATTTTTACATCGACTTGTATTGGTATTCATTACATTCCTAGTCTGGAATTAAGAAAAGGCTGGTATGGCAGCATTTTAGATTATCATGTAGGAAGGAATCTTTACTGTAATGATCATCACCGGAATGAAAAGCATTTAAAAGCCAATCTCTTTCACAAACTGCTGATTTCTTACCTGAGAATCTGCAGTATACAATTTGGACTTGTTAGTCCGCCAGACAGCAGCTTCACTCCTGAATCCTGCA